GTAGCTGCAGCAGGGGCGGCGGCATCGCCGAAAGTGATCGTGGTATTGGCGCTCGAATCATTCGAGTCCATCGCTGTGACGATCTCTGTCTCGTAGTCACTTTGTTGTTGGTCTCTTGTTGTTGGTCCCGTAGCTCGGAGCCACGGCTGATAACCTGCGTACAGGTAGAATCGCCCTTAGGTTTCCCTGTCTCGGTTATCCAAGCAGCGCACCACACCTTTTGCCACTAGCGATCGGTACGAACGCTCCGAGCAGGGTCTGCAGTGCGTCTAGCAGTTGGTCATGAATACACTACCACGATTGCTTAGTACTTGAGCCAAACATAAGTGGACACATGTGAGGACTTGTCAATGCACCGCAGTTTGCGGTGCAGGCCGTAGGCCATACACAAAGGACTACATAGTCTGGCACGTAGTGCGCAGAACCATGTTCATACTGTGCATCTGTTCACAGCAATAGATATCCTATATAAGCCCCTGTATAGCCCCCCTTGAAGGATGGTTCATATGGCAAGCTACAAACATCAGGCTTCCTGTATGTGTCCCTGGTATACTACGACCCTGAATAGCTATTGAGGGGTACCCTACACCTGCTTCAACACAGATCCTCCTGCTAAACCCCTAAACCCCAAACCCCTAGACTCTCAACCCCTAAACCCTAAACCCCTGAACCGTTAACCCTTGCAACTTGCAGGCACTGAAATTTCCGCCGCTTTTACCTCCCCTTGTAACTTGCAGCCCACGGGGTCAAGCTCTGAAACTGAACCATAAACTTACTAGCGTTGAGTAGGGAACATGAAAAAAAAATTATATGGGGATCATGTAAGGCTTATATTCCCTTATTCACCACTAGGCCCCAGTAAGTAAACAGTGCGCTTAAGCCTTCAACACTCAAAATGTTGAAGCTCATTTCTCCCAACAGGTGCTCAAGTGCCGCCCAGCAATTTAGTATGATCACAGGAACACCCAAAAAGCATGTCCCGTGCTGTTCAGCAAGCCCCACAGCTTGAGCCTGCGCCATTCGCGCCAACTATGCCGATTCGACTGGTAAGGCCGATCTTGCAGCTAATGTCCTTCCTGGGGTGGAGGGCTCAGGATTCAAGGCTGAAGGTAGAGTGCAGGGCAAAGGGGGTAGGGCTCAGGGTTTACGGGTGGAATTGGACCAGGGAACGCCATCGCAGAGCACAGAAAAAGAAGCTAAAGAGAAGCTCCTCTGAAGCCCTCATAGAATGCTCCTTCTAGTAGCACTGCTGTGCTTGTTAGGACACAGAGATGCGGGGACCGCCCGGCAGTCTGTCCCGGGGGTGGTAGGGGTCAAGGGGGGGGCCGGGTTCTTCCGTGTTTTTCTGCGCCCTTGAGGGTGGATGCCTTGGGTCACCTCCAGGAGACAAGAGCACCTTCCCCTAATAGATGCCCTCACACCCCAATATGGAGGTTTCCCAAAATTAGGGGTACCCTTTTGGGGGGTCCTAATAATAAGGATTATGGTTTTTTGGGGGTCTATATTGGGGTTCCCTTATTCAGAGAAACTACCATATAGATCCCTGGACCCCATTGGTTTCTTGCGGCTAATAATGCGTCAGCGTGGATGGCTTCCGGCGCGGCAATCTGCAGGGAGGAGGGGAGGGGTACATTATAGATATTTTTTCCTGACCCCCGGCCTCGCCGGATTTAGAGTTTGCGGCTTACTTGGAAGACTTAGTAAGCATTCCCGGCTATCTCCATTCCTAACCTATTTGCTAAGTCCACGCTTGAAATCCGGGGGGCTGGAACCTAACCGCTACTCTTATCATCCCACAGATCGAAGCCCACCCAACCTCTCCGCTAAGCGTTGACCCCTAAACCCCCCAACCCCAATTACACCATGAACCCAAAACCACGAACCCTAAACCCTAAAGCACTAGACCAGCTAACAAAGCCTTCGTCTTCTTGTCATCCGGAAGAGTTGGCGCGCTTGGGACTTCAAGATAAGCGGCCCATGGGAAAAAACTGTCAAACAGTCTATTTGGGTTTAGGGCTTGGGGTTTAGGCTTTAGGGACTTCAGGGGTAGTTATATATGGATAATGGAAAAGAAAATGGAAACCAGTATATGATGATAAAGTACATATTGGGGTCAGATGGTTTTCTCAAAGAGCTTCACAAATCGAGGCGGTGAATCTTCGCACTCCGGACTCCAAATCCGCACGATGGGTTCTATGGGGCCTGGAAGCTATCACCTGGAACTCTGGCAGAATCGACCCGGTAGAACTTCCTACGCCCATCTGCGCAAAGAAGAAACGAACAAATCGCCTGAATCCTCAAGGCCTTAGACTCACCCTAAACCCTAAACTCTAAACCCTGAACCCGAAGCCCAACAATGTCGAGGTGCAGGATCATTGGGCCATCGTCGTCGTAGGCGAAATAAACATTCCTGGCTTGGAGGGTCAGGTGGACTTAGTAAGTAGATTAATAACGGGTAGAATTAGGGTTACCGCATGGGTTATAGGGGTCATTAGCCTATTTGCTAAGTCCCCCTGACCCTTCAAGTGCTGGGCTAAGCAGAAGGCTTGTCGACCAACGTTCAGGGATTCCTACGCTCAGAGAGTATGTCGGAACGGAAATGAAAATGGAAGCCACAACATTACTTGAGCCATAGTCTAAACTCCTTGGAGGGGGTTTTATAGGGGATTTTCTCAGGGAGCATGATAAAGGTTGTAAGGGGGATGCTAAGAGTAGACTATAGCTTCTCTAGGGCTGAAGGTTTAGCATCAGGGGGACTTAGTAAGTAGGTTAATACTGAACTGGAAACCAGAAAACTTTTTGGTGTTTAAGGTGTAGGGGTCAGAGGGACTTAGTAAGTAGGTTAGTAACAGGGGCGAGTGGGATTATCATATTGGCTTACAGTGTCAATAGGGGCCCTAGAAGCATATCCCAAAGCTGATATTCCTGGCACAAGCCCCAACAAACAAAAGCCAAATCCCGGAAACCTATTCTCTAAGTGGTCCTTAAACAAGCCCTACAGGCACCCGTTAAGGTCCCTGAAACGAAGAGCTTCAGGTTTGGGGTGTTGGTTCAGGGAACCGCACTCCGGAATGAAATTCTGAACCCTTAACTTACTGGTGCTGAGTAGGGAATAAGGGAATATGAGCCCTAAATATTCTCTGTGTAAT